CAAGGGAAGAAGCCCCAGCACACAGAAGAAGCAAACTTCTACATGAACTGCAGAGCAGCTTACCTGACTGTTCTGAAAAGCAGCTTAGAAAATATCAAATCAAGAGAGCAGCTCAGCCTAGGTAATGGTTTGATCCTTTTCCCTGTGCCTGTTGTGTGTGATGGGGACAGGGGGTGTCTGCACAAGCAGTTCAGCACTGGGACTATCCCAGTGTACAGGCTCAGGAACTGTTTTAAGGAATTCACAGCAGTTTTGGATAAGGTTCAGATTTCAGTATCTTTGAAGACATTTTCCTATTAAAAAATATCATGTAGTGATTTTTCGAAGTTTTTCATTTTCCTCAAATCCTTAATCTTTGTTGCTGGGTGTTGGACGACTCGTGGAAGTGGGAATATTGGACAGAGTTTTTGCTCTGTAAATCCCCAGTATGAGTGGTCTCAGTTCAGTTTAGGTTGCGTAATTGCCCTGGCACAGAAAATCACCATAACTGGTATTCCATAGGAATTCTTACTCTGTGTTTCAACTCCTGCTGAGTTAGAATGCTTCCATAGAATGAAATAAAGAGTTTTCATTTTTTAATCCAGGCTGTGTTTATGTCGAAGTTCCTGTCAGCAGTACAATAGGAAAGAAATCTCTCTGACTGCTTCAGCTGCACTAAATAAAGGTGTTGGTAGAATCTGACTGTACTTTTGTGTTACACTGCTTGGAGCTTCTTTCCCTGCAGCAGTACATGAAATCCTACCCATCATCAGGCACATTCCCCCAGCATGTGACTTAGTGCTCTCCAGCCTTCCTCAGCTGTAATAAAAGTGCCTTTGTAACATCCTAATGATAGTTTAGGATAATCTGGATTTTAAGATAGGGGTGGTGTGAACAAGTGTCATCTCTTTATTATATGCTTTGGCTTTCATCTCTATCCATGTGCCAGTTGGCTCCATAGCAAGTGTTTGGACATTTTGCTTTCAAGGTTAACTTTGAGAGGGCAGATAGTTGCTCAGGCTCCCAGTCTTTTCAGAACTATTTAAGAACTTGTTTTAGAATTTGTAAGCATTGAGAATTATAGAATTATATTGCATCTTAATTCTGGCATTTCCCAAGTGTGCCAGTGTTTAGACATCTCTTGCTATGTGATGTTTGGCTGATGTTCTAAATTGTAAAGTATTCACTTACAGATTGGCTCTATGACACTTTTTGCTTATTCACAAATAGTGGCTTCATTTCCTGTGAGTTGTAATAATACTGAGCTTATTTAGCAGAATCGCTGCATAAAGAAATATAAATAAAAGGTGCAGGCTAATTGAATTTTCACAAAAAAAGATGTGGGAGGCAGGTAGGGTATGGCAAGTGCTGATCTCCCTGGATATATGAAAACATAGAGTTGTACATTTGAAGGATAAGCTGATAAATATAAGTAAATACTGTGCTATGCTGTGCTATGCTGTGCTGTACTGACATTCCAGACAACTCAGCTATCCACAGAACCAACCACTCAGAGTAACTGCCCTTCCTTGGCTGACCTTGACACTGCCATCTCCAAACAATTGCTCTGTGCCCAAGCGTGGCGCAGATAAAGATATAAACTGTGCTGTGTCCTCCTGGCTCTGCCTGCAGAGGTGACAGGGCAGGAATCTTTATTTAGTCCTTGCCATTCAGCTGCAGATTAGCAGCAAAGGTGCCTGGTTTCGTTTGTTTGTGTTGATGGTGACACGGTTGCCCACCGAGCGTTGTAACGGTGCCACCACCTCATTGCACAGATGGTCCTGGGCAGTGCTCAGCTGGCTCACAATCAAATGTCAGCCCAGGTGGAGATGAAGGATCTCTTGTGCTTCACTAAAAGACTTGATTATATGGCAAGATATAGAGACATCCCCTCTGGATTCACACAGACTGTTCGTTTGGGTTTAATTTCAATTTTATAACATACCTTTCTCACACTGAGAACTGGTGAAAGGATGTTTTGAGTAAAGACTTTGAAGAGGCAAACTAGATCCAGCAAATTAATGTGGAGTAATGCCAGGGGTGAGATCCAAGGCACTGGCTGCATGTGTGGGATTGGCTGTTGGCTTTAATGTGTGTCTGGGGGTATCGTTTTTCCTTTCACGTTGTGTAATTTGAATTGATGAGTTCCAATGTGTAGATGTGACGTAAAATATTGTTTAAGATAAATTCTACACTAGATCTCAGTTTTTGGCAAAACTGTTATAGATTTTAGTAGAAACAGGATCTGATAATGTGCAGGTTTACAAATAGTGTGCTCTTCATATTAAGACACAGGATACAGCCTGAATTTTACATTTGTCACATGAGAAGACTTGTCTTTGAATTTGTGGATATTTTGATTGAGTCTAAAACTAAAACTGTCCTTTAGACCCACTTTTCCCTTGAGTCATGTGGCTTTAAACAAAAGTCTGAACATGAAAGTGATTCAAGGATGTTTAGAGAAAAGTCCTTTACTGACAGCTGGGATATATAGTTAATATTGTGTTTTATTCTTCAGTACTTCAACAGGCTGGAAGAAATCCATCTCAGAAGACCATTAATAAATACTGGACTTCACAAACAACTGCACTAAATTTTGATGATTTTTGTGCTATTTTAAAACAAGAAAAGCCAGTTACAAAAACTGAGCTGCTGGAAGCATTTGGAAAAATAGACACAGATAAGACTGGATATATCTTACATGATGAGCTCTATAAAATCCTTACAACAGTAAGTAGCAGTAGAAACTCAATTATCCATCTTTAACCATTAGTAGAGATTTTGAAAATGAGATGGTAAAACTATGCTACAGTGTAAGAATGATTGGTTTGGTTTTTTTATTGCAGAGAGGCGATAAAATGACTTGGGATGAAGTGAACACAATTACTAAACAGACTGATTTTAACTGCAGTGGCAAACTTGATTACAGCAAGGTATGGCAAACACAGACACTTGTTTGATACTGTGTTACTGTTTTGGTGTTACTGACTCCATCAAACACAATATTACCACCTCCAGCTGTCTGGTGATGATCTCACCCAGGAGCCCAAATTGCCTGTGACTAAATTGTGAGCTGGATAAACAACCCACAAAGATTTGTACACAGGGGTAGTTTCATAGGAGGAAAACTAATATGATTTTTAATAATTTGTCTTCAGATTTCTAGAAAGAAATATAAATCATCTGTTGGATTGAAAGTCACTTAATTTTTATTCAGTATTTGGACCTCCTTGTTGAATGGCTCCACTTTACTGTGTTGCTTGAGTGGTTGTTCTGATTCAGGAAAATTAAAATTGTGCTTGAATAGAAAATCCATCACATCTACTGACCTGTCCTTTCCTAATTAATGTTAACTTCACTCCTTAAACCATGAGAAGGAATGTTTCACTTAGCAGATTCCCTTTCTTTCCATGCAGTTTTGTGAGCTGTACCTGACCACCAGGGAGCAGAGCTGCAGGACCGCCCGGGAGAGGCTGGAAGTTGACAGCAGGTTGAGGCAGCAGCGGTTTGGAAATCAAGCTGAAACTTCCTCTGAAGGGATCACACTGCCAGTGCCAAAACCATCCCCCAGAATCTCCAAAAAACATGATCAAAGACTACCAAAAGGTGTTTGTATTTCACATTGGGAGTTTTCATTCTGTTGGAGGTGAAGCTCTGGGTCAACAAGCAGTTGAGTTTTTGTTGAATTTTTCTCAGATCAGTGAGGATGTTATTGATTCATGTAATTTCTAGAGTGACAATCACATAAATATCTCAGCAGAATATGTTCTCAAATTCCTAAGAATAATCTTTCAGATTCCTAGGAGTGAATTCTGTTGGCTGTCACGTGACACAGTCCAGAGGAAAGAGATAAAATGAATGCTCAGATGTTGCAACAGAGACAAGTTATTTATTCCCTTCCCAGATCAGAGATGAAACCTTAAACATTTATCAATAAACTGTGTGTTTGTTTCAATTATTGAGGCTGCTCTTCAAGCACAATCAATAGGGGACTTCAGTGTTCTTCCTGGAGTTACAAAGATACTTTAAAACCTTCCCAAACTGGACAAAGACCACGGGTAACAGACTGCAGAGGTGCCATGTCTGAAATATTTGCATGGAATTTGTGCTGCTTTCAGTTGCTTCAATTCCAGGCAAGAAACCATTCTGACAAAAGAGTGATGAAGGGATCCAGTTTGTCTATGTACTTACAAACAGAGGGTTTATGATAAACAGCTTTAGGAGGGGGTTGAAACAATGTAATTGTAACTAAACCTGTGTGTTTGTAGGTGACAGCAGAGCTCCTTCAAGACCCTCATCAGCCCAAAGCGGCAAAGCTTCCAGTTGTCCCGCTGTCAGTGGGGGTTCCAGCAGCAACAGGAGCACAAAGCTAATTGAGCCCGGCACAATGAAGGTATCACACTGAAATGAGGCTGTTTTCCTCCTGGCACACATGTTATTGCATTTTAAATAAGCTAAAAATCAGAGAAAAATGGCTTCTTATGTTTTATTAAGAGTTTGTCAGGGGCAGCTATAAACCACTGAGAGCTTGATATGTGTTATTATTAACATTTTTATATACTGTTGGTTTTGCTGACATCTAGTTATTGAAAATAATTTTTCAGGTGTGAAGGTTTAATAGAACCAAGTGTGTTTTTTTATAAATGAAACCACCATTGGAGAAAACGTTTTAATGACTTCTTGAGAAATTTAAAGTTTAATATTTTATTAGGTTGGTGAGAACTTTAAATGCTTAAGTAGTCTGAAAGATTGTGTATCATAAACCTTTACATGAAAGGTAATTGGAAATAAATAACAGATCTGGGAGCATATTCAGTTTGTTGGGCATTACTTTCTAAATATATGATGTAGCCTGAAAATATTGATTTTTAGTTAAACTAATATGTTCTATCAGTATTTTCTTTTGAATAAATCACTCATTCAATATAAATTCCTATGGGAGAGAGACAACAAAGTCACTTTGCTAAGTCAATATTTGTAGAGTGTTAATATTGATCTTTTTCCTTTGTTTTCCCTTTCTTGACTGAACCTTTACTAGTTTTCTTTCACCAGAAAATAATAGCTGCAGAAATATAAAACATTAACTGGAAACTGCTCAGATACATTAAAAATGTGCACCTTGAGACTCCTGTATAAAAGGGGAAAAATGGTTATGACCACACAGTGTAACTGCTGCTGGAAAACTGAACTGATTGTTCTCAGGAGCTACATCTTTGTTTCAAATAACAACTCTGGATTTGTTATTGAACTCTGAAGTCCTTTATATCTTCCCCACTGCTGTACAGTGACATTTGTTCTATATGAAAATTTAAAAACATCATCTCCGAGGAATTTTTTTGCAGTCTGTTTGGGTATCTGGACCTCCATGCAATTTAACCTGCAATTCCACCTTGTTCAGCCATGATGTGTGGGGTGTTAAAGCAGCACACACTGAGCCAAGATTGGATTCTTCTTTCTTTGCACAAACCAGTAAGAACTTACTGAAAAACCCAAAGCAGCTGCAGGTATCAATTAGTATTGATTAGCATCATTCAAACCCTGAAATCATTCAAGAAACGTGAAAAGGTGGAAGTAGAACTGTTAATTTTTATAAACTCTGTTTGGCACAATGCAAACTCACTGTCAGAATCAGTGAATAAATACCCAGGGATTCAGTTGTGGTGTGGATCAGAATGTAGCACCCAAAAAGCCTTCTTATTCATCTTCTATTCAGAAATATTTTATTTTTTTTTTCTGCTGTCCACCTGTGGTTTTGGACCAGTAAGAAAATATTGCCCTGAGGAAGTTGGACCAAAGCCAATGTAACATTTCTGGCAGAGGAGAACACTGGAAGTCAGAATATGGTGAATGTCTGAATTTAAAACCCATGGAATGTGCTCCTAGTCCATTCTTCCATGTGTTTTCTTTTTGTCAGTGAAGTTTTGGGACGTGTTCCAAGCCAAATCAATAAATTGTGGGAGAAAAAACCAGCCAGTTACAGATGTGCATAAACATCACGTTGGGCTTCAACTGCAGCTGAATCCCAATTTGTGAACAGACTGATGGAGATGTTAAATTTCTGCAGAGTGTTCTTGGTGTTGGTTTTAGTTGAGATTGAAAGACATCAGCAAAAACAGAAAGGGGATCATGTCCTAAAAATGGAGCTCTTTGCTGTAATCACAGGAACAATTCCTGTCACAAACATTGCTTTTTATTTGGAATTCTGCAGTGGTGTGGGGACAGTTTCAGTAGTAACTCAAATTGCAGTAGCAGTGACCAGCAGCAGGTCGTGCCTAAACTTCTGTACAATCAACACAAACACAACTATTTCCCACTTTGGCTGTGATTTGACAACTTCTGTTACGCTTTGACGTGACAAAGTAAAATCAAGCCAGAAAATCATCTTTTATCTTCCCAAATTTGCCTGTTTGTAATTTGGCATGGATAATTTAGGGCACTTAGCACCACCTTATGCTCTGTGCAAGAATAACAGTTCAGGAGTTGATTTCCTAAAACTTTGATCAGCTTTTTGTCCAGCAGTTTTGTCAGGAATTAAACAGGGAGACTGAGTGAGCAAACACCCACTTATCTCAGCTGTGTCATGTTTTCAGGGTGAAATAATTGTTGCCTTTAGATCAACATCTTGGATGAACATAACAATGAATAATTTGAGATTAAGAGAGTTCCCAGCTATGTAAAATGAATGCTTGAATGACAAGTGTTTAAATGGAGGAGCTGATCCTGTTCCCCCAATAATCAGTGGCAAAACTTAAGGCTCTTAAATCCTTGAGTCTCTGAGTATCCATTAATCCAAACCAGGGAAGGCAAATCAAGGATGTCTCACATTCCTTAAGGCATACAGTGTGTCTGTATTTATTTTATCTCACTTTTTTAGCAAAAAAAAAAAAAACAAACCAACAAACCAAACAAATCATTCTAACGATATTTGAAATTGAAAATTGGGAGCTGCTGTTTAGAAAAAATAAATAATTGAAGCGTGGAGCTGTTTCAGCAAAATCATGGCATCTCTACAAACCTTGTTATTCACAAACCCAGCACTTTTCAGTTTGCCTTTTAACAGCTTTGACAGAAGTCAAGAAAAATCACATTATTTGACCAGTACTTGTGTTTGTGATTTGTCTGAGCAAATAACCCCTCATTGCTCAGCTAATCAGTTGTGTTCCCTGCTTGGTTGGCCTGAGGGAGGTAGCAAAATTCCAGCCTTTTGGTGGTAAATCACACAGTTCAGGGAATTTCATTAAATCAGTGGCAATTCAGCTTTGATTTCATCTGAGCACCAGGGGAATCTGATTTTGAGGCATTTTCACAAGGGAAGCAATAAAAATTGACGACAAAAACGACTATTTGAGATACTCTTTTTTTAAAGCAAGAATTATCAGGGCTGTATCTTGTGGTGTATGTTATGCAGGGTTTATTAAATAATAAAATCAGTATTTCAGAGGAGGTGCTCTTATCTCAATCAAAGGTAACATTGAATACTTGCTCGGTTCCCAGGAATGGCAGTGTGCACAATCCAAGGGCTGCTTCTACTTGGAAGAAGACGGTGAAATCATCAGTCACAAGTACAGGGTGCACTTCCCTCAGAGGTCCTCAGTTTGTGTCACCATCAAGCCTTTAAATGTTCCCCAGGTAGAAGGTGAGTGTGTTTTTATTTCATTTTCTTGTTCAAAAGAGTGAAACCCACCCTTAGATCCACCTGGGCTCGGTCAGTGCTTTCCAAACACTTTGTGTTTTACTCAGGACCTTTGTCTTGTTGTTGCATTGGAATTATTTTCTCTCCGAGTAGACTCTTTCTTTCCTAATCCTGTAAAACAGGGGCCATGAGATTCCAAAGTTGGTTTGGACTCATCTGTTGTGCTACAGGTTGGTGATTGATTCTGACTGAGATTGGTAATAAAAACTTCACTGCAAATAACTGATGGAAAGGAGTCATTTTTCCCAGTTGCTGCCTGGCTGAAGGGGGAAGCTGATCAACAGACCCCAGGGAGAAAAAGGGATCTGAATCTGACAGATGGAAGTAATTTAACAGATTTGGGGATGTCTCAGTGCTCTGCTCAGAACTTTGGGGTTTTTTTATGGCACCCTTGAACCTGTACCTCAGACAGTTCCGCTGCAGGATTGCCCAGACGTTCTCTGTAACCAAAAAAACCTTATCTTTTGTATAAAAACATTCTACTTTTGCACAATATAATTGTCCTGTGTATGGAACTATCTCTGTGCTTTGCTGTGGGGAGGAAGGCTCAACACTGGTGTGTAAGGAAGGGATCCACATTAGCAGAGCAATGACCTTTTCAGGAGAAAACTCTCTTCACATTTTGAACAAATTTGTGTGGTGTATAACCACATCCTTGGTATTCTTGACTCTTAATTACAGAGCTATTCTGTCAATAGTTCCTGATGATAGAACTATTAATAGGAATAATTATCTGTGAGACAATCACAAGGCTTGGAACAATTTCTCTGATTGACCTAAATAGGAAGGAAATCCCAATATCCTGTAATGGATTCTTAATTTCCATTGTACACGAACAGGGATCAATATTATAAATACCATGAATATATCCATTTTGAGGTCCAAGGAAAACCACTTTTGTGCCATCATTAAGCATTTCTGTGTGGAATATTTTTCTCCTTAGGAAGATCTTGTCACTGGTTGTCAGTGGATACAGCTTTGTTTATTCTGAAGGAGAACGAAACCCAAGAGAATCTACAGCTTGTGAGCTTTACTGAAGTACAAAACAAAGAGGTCAGATATTGTTGTTGTGTTTGGGTTTTAATTGTTATTTATTTAGTGTGTATGTTAATATTATATGGGTGAGCTCCATGGGATTGAGAGGAATTCAAGCTGCACTAGTCAGATTAGAGAGAAGCAGCACCTTTTCCAGGCATGTTCCCTTTCAAAACTGACAGCACTTGTGCAAGGTAAGATGTAACAGAATTGCAATTCCACATGTATGGAAGGTTAATGGAATTCTGGTGAGAACCACGTTATTGTGTGATATGTTGGCAAGTATTGGTGAGTTGCTCAGAAACTCACTTTATTCCTGCACCCCCAAACCCAAAATTTCAAAGGGAAAATGTGTTGAAATTTCCTCTAATTTTCTTTCTCCTTCCACATATAATTTTGAACTTCACAGGGCACAGGATATTCTTATCCTTTGGCAGAAATAAGGGAGGAGAAATGGCAGCATTAACTTAGTTCTCCCTTCTCCCCTCATCTCTGCTCCTGTATGTGTTTTTAAATTTTATTGTAAGGGATTCACTAGAGGTTTTTGTCTTTAAAATAGCATCTTTAAGGAAAGCACCCAGCATTACTAGTGTTTTCAAGTGATTATTCACTTTTGTGTGGATATTACTGGTAATAAAGAAAGGCATCATTTGAGAAGTGAGTGACAAACTTGCCTGTGTCCCTCCAAGAGCAGATGTTTGGCTGGAAAGGGGAGCTTGGATCTGGGAATTACTGGCTGCTCCCGTTCACAACAGGCTGCAGGCTGAGGAAGGGGAAAACACAAATTGCTGGAGAAGCAAAATTGGTGTATAGGGATGAAGATGGAGAGCTGGCCCTCACCAAGGACTTCAGGTGAGTCACATTCCCAAACTGAAAAAGGGTGTTCTCCAGCTAAAATGCAGCTTTTTGAAAGCTCTGTCTTCCTAAAGTACAGGATATTCTCAAATGGACTGAACAGTTCCTGCCAATATTATGAGACAGAAAAGCAAGCAGAAGCCTTTGGAAATAGTTTTGCCTTTTTTAATCTTTCAGAGCTGCTCTATTGGATATATTTGAAACAATAGATTTGGATGGGAATGGCCTCTTGAGTCTGGAGGAATACAACTTCTTTGAACTGAGAACTAGTGGGGAGAAGTGTGATGAGGAAGCATGGGCTGTGTGTAAAGGTAAGTTCATTGCTGTACTTAATTAAACTAATTAGGGCCATCAATCTACTTACAAGTTGTATGTGTATAGTACAGAAGAACTGAGTATTTTGTAGCCTATTCCAAGGACACATGGAGATATTGTTCTCTTCTCCCTTTGTTTTCTTTTTTTTTTCCTTTTCCAGTCTCCTGTCCCTTGTTTTGCTTCATTCTGGTGTGTGTGCCACTGACCTTCTGCTGAGAAAGTTCTTGCCATTCCTAATTGTTTTGTAGCTGCCAAAACCTACAGATTTTGGTGACGTGGTGAATGAAACTATAAAAGGTATTTGTTTTACCCATGTCCTTTGTGCAGATTAGGCTGGGGCTGCTTTCCTATCTCACAAAGAGCTGAGAGGTTCATTTAATTCGTGTCTGTGGTGCTCTAAAATGGTATCCAGAGTGTCTGAGGATTGCCAGTGTCTCGTTGTATGTCAGCCCATGTCATGTTTGGCATAATTCCTTTGTGGGCTGTGACACACTGGCCAAGATACTGCAGATCTGGAAAATCCTACCGATCATTTCTCCCCAAAACACTCCAAGGTGTTGGACTTTTTCTAACTGATGGAAAACTGATACAAAATCCCTTTCTCTAACTTTCTCCTCTGTTTCATCCCTGTATGTACTTTTCCACTCTTGGACTCTGTCAGGTGATGCCTCTGCACTTATCTCCACATGAGCAGGGAGGGGTAAATATGTGTGAATAAATAAGGCAGGAAAGAGCAGAATCTGGTGAATGTTTTACCAGGTCATTAATCAGTCGAAAGGGTTCAGACAAATATCATAAATCTTGACACCAAAGTTCAAGCCATTTATTACAGCAGCTGTACCCTTGGATAGATTTATTAAATTGGTAATCCCTTTTTAATAATATATAGTAAAGATTTAGCATTGTTGTGAAGATGAGAAAACCATTTTTAAAACTCTCTGACACAAGGACATTTCAATTATGTGTTTGCTGACATTAGAGGGATATCTATGATATTCTCTCTAGAGAGGGGTGTTAGGATTACTGGAATTTTATTGCTTTTTAGGAACTAAGTAAATCATTTCTATATCAAGGACCTCAAGGGTGCTGGTTTCAGCTGACTTTCATTTCCCATTCCTAAAATACCCCTTTCTGCAAATTTCAACCACAAAGCTTTAGCATAAAGCAAAGAGAATGAATATGAACTGCTTGTGTTTTGAAATCTCACCCTCTTTTGGGTTATCCAAGGGAGCAGCTGTTTCCAGGCATTATCCCAAATCCACAGGGAAGCTCTGCAAAGAGCACATGGCTGGTCAAGGACAGTCTTTCCCAAATAATATTGGAGAGCCCAAAAAATGGCTCCATCTTTTAAACTGTGGCTTTGGAAGGGTAAAGTGTGTTTGCAGAGAGAACAGACTTTTGAGTGTTACTTTCTATTTCCTTTAAACAGAGAATTTTGAGATGAAGAAGAATGAACTCACGAGACAAGGATTCCTGGATTTGAATCTCATGGAAGCCACGGACCGGGAGGGGGATCCCAGTGACCTCTGGGTCACTCTGTTGTCCCTGGGCTACAACAAGGCCTTGGAAATGATGGAGGTATGAGGGACACAAAGCCAACCCAACTGCTCGTGCTGAACTGCAGCACTGTCTGTGTCTGCCAGCAACTGACTCCAGCAGCTCAGGGACCCACTCCAAACACGGTGCATTCAGGATTTACACTATCACATCCATTACCCTGTTTATTAGGATAACACCTGGACTGCTGAAAGAGAAAGTTTTCCTTTTGCTTCAGAGAAAGACAGGATTTTGTGGGTTATAGGGAAGAAATTTTGGATTACACCCATTGGAGGAGTTCATTGCCCTTGCTGGTGAGATGTGATCAGACAGTGATGGTGAATTGTGACCTCTCAGCAAACTTAGAAACACTGCAGCACTTGCTCTCCTTAAAAAAGTCGCTTTCCTAGTCCAAACCACAACAAAAATGGATAATTTTTTTCCACATGATTCAGAATTTCTGATTTTCAGACATGACTATTTCTTTTTTCTTGCCTTTCACAGCAGTATCTGAATGTGTCCAACCTAAAATTTTAATGAAGAGGCTTTAGGTGGCACACTGTTTACTTACAGGCCAGGGATTATTTTTCTAATGTGTATATACACCTAGATATTTTATTTTATTATTTTATTTCGGTTTTTAAATTTATTTTTGTAGAAATAATTTTGGTGTTAATAGTTCTCACTCAAGAAAGAAGATCTTTTTAATGAAGAGAAAAAATTATGAAAAATTAAAGAAAACATTTAATAGACAGATAATTAAATCATCTAGGTTTCATTTAAGATCATAGTCTGATAATGTCATTTAACTTCATTAAAGTAAAGCAGGTTAGTGTAGTCACTGTATAAAATATCTGTGTGAAACAAATATATGCAGACCCCAAACAGTCAACATGAGAGACACCCCCTCTCAGTGAAAATCTTGGATCTTGGTGAGGGATTTCATGATGAGCAGTTTCTCCTTTTCCTCCAAGTTGTGGTTGGCAGAGCCCTTGCAAAGCTGTTTTTCTGCATTTCAGCCACGAGAGGGAGCAATCCTCCAAGAAAGAGCATTTTGGGGAGGTTTTTAAGCAGTTGGGAATTTCAGGCAGGTGTTTTGTGCCTTACACCAGCTGTGGTTTATGGCTCCAGCCTTTGCTTTCCAAGGGACAACATTAATCTGAACATCTCCATCTGTTAACTTGTGTCTGTCACTTCACACTTTAATTCCTTGATTTCAAACACTTCAAGAGTGGTGTTTTGGGAGCACTGAGCCTCTAAAGGCAGAACTTGAGAAATCCTGGTGGATTCCAGCAGGCGTTTGAAAGGGACTGAGGTGCCGTTACTGTGTCTGGAAAAATGCAAACTCCTGGTTGTTGCACCAGCAGTAACACTGCTTGGTGTAACAGGGTAGATGTAATAAATCTGCGGGAAGTGGCACCAGTAGCAACAGTGTGACAGGGAAAGGAGTCAGGGCTATTTCAGACTCTGGAATACATTCATACTGCATCCTAATTGCTGTGCATTTTGCTGGCAAAGGAAGGGTTTCCTGTGTTGGAGCTGAATATACCAAACTGTACATTGAGTGTACTGTGGCTGGCATGAAAAACGTCATCTGTCCTGTAAAATACCGCCCCAGCTCTCAGCTTTGGTGTATCTGATATTCAGGGACATCCTTGTGTTTTGGTAATTCTGCTTCAGAGCAGATATGAAAATACTGAGGAGCTGTGGATGAAAACCTGAGGGGAAAAACTTCAGCTGAGGTGATGGTAAAACCCGTATTTCCCATTGCAGGCCTGTCCCTTTGTCATCGACATCCACGCCGAGAGGTGCAAACCCCGGATGAAGGCCGTGTGTCTAGAGGCAGGGGGCTTCCAGCTCAGCAGGGCTCTCTGCTGGGCTGTGGTGAGCAAAGGACAGCCCAAAGCACTGGATGGCTCTGACAGCATCATCGCCTACACCTACAAATCAGGCAGGAGAATCACTTCTGTTATTGAAAATAAGGTATGGCAGGAGACCTCTGCAAGGTACAATGTGTGAATGTCTGTTATTACAGTTCTTCCCTCCCCTCTTTTATATTTGAGAATTACATTTTCTCTTAAGTTTTTGTATCTATTTCATTAAAAAAAACACAAAAAATAGGGCCTGATGTGCTCCTTTTGGCATATGACTCAGACTGCTAAACACTGGTGTCAGAAGGGCAACCAGTTTTAAATATCATATAGAACCTGAATATTTTTGTGTTCACATTCCAATTTTTCAGTATTTTGATAACAATTGGAGACACAATATCATCATAATATGAGAAAACAAACACTAAGAACAGGAAATGAAATTACAGAGAATTCAAAGAATACAGCACTTGCACTATTTAGCATTTTCAGTGCCCACAAGAAAGTCAAAGAGCAGTGATTTGCATTGACTGTGTTATGGATGAATTATTAACTGGTTAGTCTGACAGGATTATTACTAATCCAAGCTAAGAATTGCAAATCCCAGCAGAAGTGGTTGGTGAGAAGCAGAGATTTTAAACCTTTCTGCATAGAACATAATGAACCTGCTGTTCCTTCTCAGTCTCATTTGTATCAGGAACTGCGAGTTAATAAACACAGCTCAGGAAGATGCTGAAATTAAGATGCTTTAAATCTGAAAAGATCACAGCAAGAAGTATATGTTTAAAAGGAGAGACAGGCAGAAGGGGATGGGTTGGAGGACTAATATTAGGCTCCTGGAACTCTGGGTTTAGATATGCACTCTGCCCTTTAGGGTGGCCCTGGCAGAGTTATTTATATGTTTGGGGCTGTGGTAGAGAAGGAGATGAGGTCTGCACTCAGACAGCTCGATGCTCCCTGGCATTTGTGGGAGTCTTCAGTGACTTCTGGCAGTAGATCTGTTGGTGCAAAGGTACATTTGAAACTGTGGCTCTTCAAAGAGCATCCTTAAAGCATTTCTGTCCTGGAAAATAGCAAAGTCAGAGGAAGCCAAAGGGATGTGTAGCTGGTACAGGAAGAACAGACAATGAACCAGTAAACTAAGGGATTCCCTCATGTTTTTTCATTTACAGTCTGAAAACAAAGTGATTGTTCGTGTCAACAATGAGCAGAGTAAGAACTGCCTAAATAGCAGGGGACTTACAGTTTTTGCTGTAGAAGTGGCACTGAAATCCATGATGGTAAGGGTTTTTTTTCATTATTATTGCTCAACCAACTTACAATCTAAGCAATAAGAAAATCATGTGACATCCTTATAGTTTCCTTTTGTGGGTCTTTTACTATGAGAAGGAGCGTTTGGAGAGTGGCATCTTCGTGACCAGTGCAGATCAGATGTAGTTCTTGATGTTTTGTTATAAAAGGCCATAACTGTTCGGTTTTTCACACATGGACCTGTCTCAGTTGTCCATCCAATACATGTACCACTTACTAATATTTTTAATAATCCTTGTCAAAGTCCGTGTTTTCTTTTTATTTTTCACTTAGCAAATTTTAGATCAGATACATTGATACCTGTGAGGGACAGACCAGGCATGCACTAACCAGAAACAGCAGTAAATGCATTGCAGTCCTTCTGCCCAGTGGGATTTGCAGATGGCTACTTCTGTTAAACTTGACTTAGGGGTGTTCAGCCACGAGACATTTTGATCTGCTGATCCCTGTTGCAGAGCTGGGCAGGCTGTAGGGAAAACCCAGGGACAGAAAATGCACTGCAGTGAAAATGCACTGCAAATGCAGATGATGTTTTTCTTCATTTATTATTGAATAAAATCCTGGGTTTATTATTCTAAATGTACAGTCCCTTTGTTTAAAAGAAGAGGCTTCCAAGCTATTTTGTATTTCCCAGCTTTCCAGTTTGTATTCAAACCCATTGTAAAAGGCACAGTCCCGTGACACAGGCAGGGCTGGGGCCTATTCTGATACTGCTGCTGACACTTTAGATATCCACAGGCTGGTCCTGTAAGGTGTTTTTTAATTGTAATTTAGGCTTCATCTAGTACTGGGTTCAGTGTCCCTGTGAATGTTTTGCTGTCATGCAATTAAATTCTATAGTAATGTTTGCATATCAGCTGTCAATGTGGATGAGGAACGTTCATCATTTAGTGGTGCAGGTACTGAAACAGTTCCTTTTGCTTACACAGCACGTGAGGCGACAGTTCTCCAAGCCCCAGCCATTTCACCTCTGTTTTCTCTCTCCTGTCCAGGTGTGTCAGCACGTGGTGCCCCTGAACGAGCAGGAGGAGTGGATTTATAACTGTGCGTACTCCCTTGTGCGTTAAACCTTCTGGTCACAAGCTGGGAATGTTCACACCAAACCAGGAGTGGGTTTGGGCAGCTTCCAGACAATTTGTAGTCTCGTCCTTCTCAAAGAGCTGCCATACACTGGTGCTTTGCAGGGTTTGATCTGTTAAAGCCAACGAATCACATATGTCTGATATCACTCATTTCTGCTAAGGCTGTGAAGAAACACGTACAGTGATAGATTAGGGTGGAATAAGTGTGTGTAAAATCCTTGGACAGAATAAATTACTGGCATGAAAACACTGAGGCACAATAAAAATTAGTGCTGTTCAGTGATACAATTGACAGCTGTAACATAATAGTGTTTTATAAAGGCTGGTTTCCCTAAATATGCCCTGATTTTGTACATGTACTGTAGTTCCATCACAGGCTGGAACTGCTTCACTGAGGAAAAACTTACTTTGGTGAGTGGGTCTGGTGGATTCCTAATTAAACACTGATGTGGTTTTGGTGTGAGAAGGATAAAGTGATGAGGCTCAAGATTTTATTTTGCCTCTTTCCCTTTTCTCCCCTCATTGATAATACTCATCTTGCACTTTTTCTGTAATTACTGCCTAATTTTATACTCTTTTATGTAAAATAAAGTCTGCCTTTTTGTATGTAATAATATTTCTTTATCATTTGGGGGAAACAAAGTTTTGTCTTGGGCTCTTGACTGTTAACAACAATTAATTATTTCCAGGGTAGCTGAAGTAAGGAGACTGAAGTGCACCAAGTTGAGGCTGCAACAGCAAAGAAAACCAGCTTTGAGGTACTAAAAATATTCATCTTATTTTTCTGGTTCCTCTAAATGTCTGTTACTGTGGAAAAAAAAAAAAAAAAAGGATGACCCTGCCCACTGGATGCTTGAAAAGTGTCTGAGTTTAAAATAGCCGTTAAATGTACGTGACCTCATGTGTAAGGGCAGCGAGAAGTGTTGCAAGGCTATTTTTATCTGCCATAACTCCTGCACTCCGCTGTTCCTCTGCTGTAATCGTACACTGGGCAAGCCAAATGTCAGTGCCAAAAAGAGAGCTGGGCTCTGATTTACACACTTGGTGCTGGGGCAGGTTTCCTGGCCATCTTTTAGTTTCCCATTTTTTCCCCGTAGCGAGTACAGCAGACATGGTTTTCATTTTCAGAACTACCTAAAAGAGGTAGAGGTTGAGGCCACACAAATATTTGGTGATTTCTAGCTCTGCCCCAGCTCTGGAAATGCTGCCTCAGGCAGGGTGTGGGCAAATCAGAAGTTCCCAGCTACATGTCTAAGGAGGAGTTAGGAAATAATGAGACACGTTCTGTGTAGAACAGACACTACAAAGTGAGCAGCCCATTATTTGCATTTCCCTTGTTTGTCAAATCAGTCTTTTTAGATGTGGCAGGAATTCATATGCAACTCTCTCTGCATTTTAGGAAAGGAATGGTTAAGGCTGAAGGAAGTGCTTAGTGGAGAAATCACTGCTCGTGAAAGACTTGGTTTTGCTGCAGGTAAAACACATGGCACAGCAACAGGGGAACTTCATTTATTTCCTGATCCTCTTGCTGCTAGGAAGGGTTTAATTACCAAGATTTTAAAGTGGGAATGTGGGCAAGCTCTCCATGGTAGGCTCTGCCTTTCCTGCCCTGGAGGAGGTGAGAATAGAGATCTCAGAATCTGCAGATTCTTTACCAATTTGCTTCAAGTCCAGCTCCAGCAAGACAGAAAAACATTCCAGCTTCTCTTTTCAAGGCTGAACACAGGTACCAGCTTATTTTCTTCAAGGGGAGACATTTGGGAGAAAAGGTGTCTGTAACACCTGTAATTACCTTTCTTTTGAGAACTGGCACTAGGATAACAAAATTCAGGTTCTTCATGGGTTTGCCAACACTGACCTTCCCTGAGGGTATTGAAGGGCTCCTGCTTGTGTGGGATGGTCAGCTGAGGCCGGGGGCTGACTGTAGGGCTTGTGGTGACATCTTGCTGATGGCTGTGGGGGCACAGAGGGTCTGGAGCAGCAGGAGCAGCTGAAGGAGCTGGGGAGGGGCTCAGCCTGGAGAAAAGGAGGCTCAGGGGGGCCTTCTGGCTCCTGCAACTCCCTGACAGGAGGGTGGAGCCAGGTGAGGGTTGGGCTCTGCTCCCAGGGAACAAGGGACAGGATGAGATGAAATGGCCTCAAGTTGTGCCAGGGGAGGTTTAGGTGGGACAGCAGGAAGGATTTCTTCATGGAAAGAGTGGTCAGGCTTTGGAAGGGGCTGCCCATGGCAGTGATAGAGTGCCCATCCCTGGAGGGATTTAAAAGCCCTGTGGATGTGGCACTTGGGACGTGGGTCAGTGGTGGCCTTGGCAGTACTGGGGGAACAGCTGAACTCCATCACTTTAGAAATCTTTTCCAATCTAAATCATTCCACGATTCCATGACCCCTGTCCGAAGCAGAGCACCCACCCGCGCAGGTGCTCAGTGCTGTGGCAGGACAGGGGAGCTCAGTGCTCCTGTCTGCACACCCCGAGCGCGGCGGTGCGGCATCGGCACCCTCTGCGGGCAGGGCAGGGCAGGGCAGGGCAGGGCAGGGATGCTGTGTCTCTCTGCGCTGGGTGCCCAGGCGGCAGCGCGGGCGGTGCCTTTAAGGGGCGGTCTCGGGGCGGTGCTGGCGGCGGGGCCGGTCCGGCCCGGTCCCCCCCGGCTCCCGGAACTCTCCCGGCGCCGGCCATGGTGCGGATCGAGACCGTGAAGACCAAGCCCTACGGCGACCAGAAGCCGGGCACCAGCGGGCTGCGCAAGCGGGTCACGGTGTTCCAGAGCAATGTGCACTACACCGAGAACTTCATCCAGAGCATCCTGGCCACGGTGCCGCCCGCAGAGCGCCAGGAAGCCACGCTCGTGGTGGGGGGCGACGGCCGCTTCTACATGAAGGACGCCATCCAGCTCATCGTCCGCATCGCCGCCGCCAACGGGGTAAGGATCCGGGATCCGGGATCCCGGAAATCGCTGGCGCTTTGCGTGTCCGCGGCGTGGAAGTAACTCGGTGAGTGACAGATGAGCTGACGAGGCTGCCGTGGGCTCAGCTCGGGGTCCAGGCAGGAGAATCCCCCCGGCAGCCTTTCGCCGCCACGGTACGTGCGGGAGCCAGCGGACATCGGCCAGGGAGGAGGCAAACGCAACTTTGCTCGTATTCCTTCTCCCTTCGGGCCATCGGGGGGCTTTCCAGCTGAAACACAAACCAGGACACAGCGTGCAGGTGGTGAGGTTTGGGAGGGGAGCAGCGTTCCCTTCCGCGGCATTGGAATGTGTCTCCCTGCTCGGGATTCATCCCTGTTGCTTCATCTTGGTCCTGTCACTTGGGCAGCCCGAGGGAAGCCCAGCAGGGAACGGGATATTGGTAGGAAGAGCTGCACCGGAGCCGAGTTTGTAAAGGGAGGCTCTTCCCTACATTTTGTGTTTTCCAAATGAAAAATATCCCCTTCTCCTGGGATTCCAACATAGCAACAAACGTTCTTCCTCGCAGACCACGAAGGAGGGAGTGAGCTGAGGATGTTTGGTGGTCTGGGCTGGACATAGGATAAATAGGATAAAA